TCAAGGCTACTAGTCGGCTGTATAAACTTGTATTTTCTAGTGATATTAATAATTTATGATGGCGGATATAAATAAGGTTAGAGAACATGAAGTGATTGTTTTTGTTTATTAGTTTTAGTTAATACAGGTTAAAAAACTTAGGATATAATAAGCAACAAAAATATTAATTCTCGTTAATGTAATTTATTTAAAAATTATTTGATATTACATAATAATGAATTTTTGTTATAGATCTTTGTATTATATTTTTTCTTTCAAGTATATTTTTCGATTATTTATTTATAATAAATGTAGTTTGTGTAGTAGTACGCAAGTATAGTATTTTTAATACTTAATTCATTACTTCTCTGATGATAATTTTCATGAAAATTTCAAACAGATCACATTCAATTTGAAGTATGCACTATGCACATGGAAATGTACTACCACGGATTACAAAATATCAAGGCATTGACATTGTACTGAAAAATTAATCTAATTCTATTCGAAACTGTGCACATTCTGTTCCAATTGAATCGTACACAATGCTACATTTTGTGCATTCCTGTGTGCGTTTGTGTTAAAATATGTTAAGCAATTGGAAAGCACCCATAGAGAGGCATTTAAATGGCATTGAGAAAGAGCAAAAAAAAAAAGAACTAAGAGAGAAGTTTACGTGACAGGCGCGGACCAATCAGGGCCGACTTTCTCATTTTATACATGCGCACTTCGTTTTGGTCAATAAAATCAGGAGAGTTGCGCTACTGTATATACTGTGGCTAAAGTGTAGCTATCCTTGTGAATCCTGTACGAATATCCGCCAATTGTCTCCCTAAGTTATCCGTACAGGATTTCCCTCTCCTAAAACCGTTTTGTGTGACGTGTAATTTCTTTGTATGTTCCGCCCACCAGATTAACCATTCGTTAACCATTCTTTCCATCACTTTACCTACACAAGACGAAAGTACAATCGGTCTTACTTTTTCTCTCCCTTATCTATAAATAATACTTAATAAATTTTCCACTATTTTGAACTGCCCCTCCTTACCATATTCTATTCGTAATTTTTAACAAAACTTTTTTCGCGTTATTCGGCATAGTTTTAATCACTTTGTAATCCACTCCATCCTTACCTATAAGAGCGGAGTCTTTCCTAACTATCCTCAATGCTCTGTCCATTTCACTATCCGTGAATATCTTATTCAGTTTCCACCATCTGTCGTTTATGTTTTCATCGTCTTTGCCTATTATTACTTCTTATTATTACTTCTTTAGTCGGTGCCCATGGCGGAGCTAATTCCTCCATTGTTTTTAAAATTTCTAATCTCCTGTCTTTTGTCTCCCATGAGTTTCGTTCTATTTTTCTTCACCCTTTTGAAAGTGCCCCCAAACGTATTTGAGACTCACGATTCTATTTATGCTCTCACAGAACTTTAAAAAAAAATTCTTTTTTCATACTGTTTTTCTCATAACAGCTCTAAGCGTCTTGTATTCAATATATTTAATTGTTTGCTTCCATTTTATTAAATGTCGCTTTCTTTTTTCTAGAATCTCTTTGCATTCCGCGTCCCACCACCTAATCGGTTGTCCTTTTTCATTGTTTAAACAAAGCTCTCTTATCAAAAGAAACTCTTCCGAGATGACAAATGCCCGGTTGTTATAATAGACTGGAAAAATTTAAATCACATCCATCCAAAGAGTCTCTATTTAATTACCGTAAAGCAACTGATTTAACTAGGAAAATCTTACAAGAGCATTATAACGTAATATCTATATATTACGTTAATAATAATGTTTATATGGACGTTGGTATAAATCTTTATTGAGCAAAGGGAGAAAGTACACTTTTCAACCGTTATCAAAAAATCGAAGTTAAAGAATTCCAATTGGAATTTCATCGCCAAGAATTTAATTTCCCAGAATTCAAAGACATAATTTTGCAACTAACTAACACTAATTTCTTAATTCAAATTTAAAGATTTTGCATAGAATCTTTCCTATATCCCTATATTCACGGCGGAAATAGCAATTTATATTATTCTACACATCATCCGTTCAGTCGTTTCAGAGTTCGTTCTGAAACGACTGAACGGATTTGAAAACGCTTTTACAGAATTGAAATAGAGATAAAATGTAAACACGTGAATTATAAATTTGTAGTAAAAACGAAAAAATATGAAAAAATTACCTTTTTTTCATGTCATACAACTATCATAATCTCTCACCTGACGTAAACATGTCATTGGTACAAAAGTTCTGTAATTCATATGTACAAAAAAAGTGGTTCGCGCGCATCGGATTACTTGCATGAATAACACAAGACTTTTTGAGCTACGTTTGGAAACGTAGAAAAACAATTATCCCTTAGAATGCAATTTGTGGTAATTCGTACGCTTGGCTAAGGTAAAGACAGCAAAAATTACGTTTGGCAGTAGTGCCAGATTTTCCAAGAGATGGCACTTTACTTATTGTTAGTTAGATAAGGAAGGACATTTCACGTGTTTGAGTGAGACAGAAGATATTGGTCTAGTTTACACCGAGCACATGATACGCGTACTAACTAGAAACTTTCTATTAAATTATCTTAATTTCTACAATGCTTTTGATGAATGATGTACTAAGCTGATACACTATGCATTAAGCACTATGCACTATGATTAATTAAATACGTATATCATGTATAAGTTTATATACATCGTCGAAATTAAGAAAGGTTAATAGAAAGTTACTAGTTAGTACGCGTATCAAATGCTTAGTGTAAACTAGGCCATTGTAAGAAGTTCATTTAGAGATACCACTGACAATGAAGAGCTGTCTGCTGAAGTCTGCTTTATCGACCCCGTGCAAATTTTTCCAACCTTCCAGCATCTGAAAAATCTGTTTTATCGACCTCGTGCAAATTTGGCCGACCTGACAGTATCACTTTAATGGTCATCACTTTGAAAATTTGATATAACAAATAATGAAAATTATTTATTATATCAAATAAAAAATATTTCAAAATTTATTTTTATTTTATTATTTCTTAAGTTAAATTCAATATTTATGTTCTTTTTTATATCTAATAAAATATAATTTACGATAAAGCAGACATTGTTATTTTATATCCCTTTCCAAATTGAACATCTTTTGTCCGGAACATTTCATACAATACATACTTATCGAAATAATCTGACTTGTGTGAGCAAGCAGCGCAGTGATACAGTTACTAAACTTCAATCGCTTGTAACTACTGATAAATACATTTTTTGAAAGAAATGTTTCGAATAAAAGTTTTTTTGCGTAGAATTTCATTATGTAAAAAGAAAGGATTTCATTTGAAAAAATAAAGTTAGTATCGGTTTTACCAATAATAGCATCACTTTGCGGCTTCCTTGAAGCATAACATTGTTGTCGTATAATGTGTATATTTTTCAAGATATTTATTCAAGATATTAGGATGGTTCATTTATATTTTTCAATATAAATAGACTATTCTAATGTCTAATTGGTGACTAATTTAACAAAAAATTTTCAAAATTAAAGGTTAAATTTGTGAATATTAATATAGTTGAGTTTATTTATATTAGTATTATCTGAAAATTAAGTACAAAAACAAATATTATGCATATCAGAAAATCACTTCCTTTTTTACATTAACTTTATTGTAACCATGTTATTGCGTATTTTAAATAAATAACGTATTAATATAGACATATCTCTCATTGAATTTATCTTAAAATTATCTTGTAAGTATTGGAAAATATATAGCTCTACTTAAAAAAATTGATGACCTTGAAAACATGAAAATGATAACTTTGAGAAAGCGATTTTTTGTCTTTTATAAGTTGAGTTTTTATTATTGTCATTTTTATATATGTTTAAGTGTAACGAGAATATTCCAATATTTTGCTTTAGATAATAACCATTCCTGCATATAGTTACAATTATAATAACTACCTATTTTTTTATTTTAAATTGACAGTAGGAATTAACTCTGTTCCATAACAGCTTTGAAAATATTTCAAATTGTGTGCGTGTGCGTGTATGCAAAATATATAGGTAATTGTTTACTATAGGAGAACCAGCTTCGATGACCTTGACCTTAATATATGTTGTCATGGCTCTGAGTGACCTTCAAAAAAATTATAGCGTTATAGAAACACACTTATAGTATCAAATTTATTTCTGAATTTTTTGGCTAAAACCTTTTAAAGGTCACTCAGGGTTATGATCTTAACGATATATGTCAAAGTCAAGGTCAATAGAGCTAGTTCCCCTATACTAAATAATTAACCAAAAGTATGTGTATATAACGTATTATAAGTATGTATACAGCTTCAATGTTTATTTTAAAAAAAACTTTAATATCACATGACTTCGAAAATAAACATGTCAATTAACATCAAACAATAAATCTAAACAATATATAATTTTATTAATAATTCAGGAATTTCTTCCTTTTTCCATTATTTTTGTTATAAAATTTTAGTTGCTTAGGATGTTATTTAAAAATTATAAAATAATTTTATAAAATAAAAAATATTTTGACGCTATCGAAATAAGTTAAATAAAAATATATAATGAGCATATCTTTCTATTTTTAACATTTCTCTTTATGTTAGAAGAATTTTAATTTTACATATGAGTTTTTATTGTATTCTGATAAAATAAAAACCGTTTCATGTACCTGTATATCAGGTATACTGGCAGCTTCTTCGGAAAAGTGTCGTCTGTCTGGTTTAGGACTGTGTTGATGTGGCAACTTAAAAGAGAATTTCCTACGCCTTGAAGGACTGGCAGGTGTACGGGGAGATTCCGGTTGATGTTCAAGATCTGTCATGGAACGTGCTGTCAATTCCTGTGCCATAGCAATAGCTGAGTACAGAGTTTTCTGATCAGCGGCTGAGATAGGCTTCACCTAGATAAGACAAATGTTTACTGTCTCCGCCGTAATCAACATCATAAATTAACAATTCCGCGATCCTTTTTCTTTACAAATAATTATTATATATTTAGATATATTATGTATAAGTTTATCACATTAAAAACAATACCTAAAAGATACACACACACTCTACAATATTGTGTGTGTGTGTGTGTGTGTGTGTGTGTGTGTGTGTGTGTGTGTGTGTGTGTGTGTGTGTGTGTGTGTGCGTGTGCGTGTGTGCGCGTGCGCGTGCGCGTGTGTGTGTGTGTGTGCGTGTGTGTGCGTGCGTGCCTGCGAGTGCGTGTGCGTGTGTGTGCGTGTGTTTACAATATTTGTAAATTATCGATGCTATCAAAACAATTTTATTTTTTATCTTTCTTCCTAAAACATCATATAAATATAAATAAAAAGAATAACTAAAAAAATAATAAAAAGAAAAGAGTAATATTAGATAATAAACTTATTACCATAAAAAATAAAAAATTACTGTACATTTATTGGACTCACGGTGGCTTGTTTCTTCTTGTTACATTGTTTTGCTTGGATTTCCCTCAGTTCATTTCTTGCGTTGCTTGATTCATGTTCAGTGGATAAAGGATGACCAGGTGGCGGAGGAGGTGGAGAAGAGCCTATAAAAAAGCATAATATATGTCAGAACAATATGATACAAGATCCATCATAATTATTTGAAATATTATCTTAAACAATTTTTTTCGAAAAAATACTATTTATTTAGTTTTAAAAAAATTGTTAAAATAGTAGGAAAAAATTTAAATTTAAATTAGTTTTTTGAAGATAAACTTCAAAAATATTTTTCTTTTTTTTTTTAATGGAGCTATTCATCTTTTGTTATAGATCTTTATTATAGGTTTCATGGAATCTAACAACTAATATTATAATTATAATAAAATATAATGTATGTAAAAATAAATTTTAATAACATAGTAACTAGAAAATTAAAACATTTATCATATACAGTGGTTTCTTTAGATATTTATTAAAACAATAAAACAAAGTACACAAATAAAAATAAAAATCAAACTTTATTAATAGTTTTACTATTATAGAATTTATAGAATAGAATTTACCGTGTATTATATTTTTTTCATATCTTTGGTACATTCATAAAAGTCTTTTAGTATTTATCAAGAAAGAAATCTAATAAATTATGATTTGAAGAATACGGTCAACAAATTCACTTACCTCTTTGTATCCAACAATTGTGAATTATCTCAAAAATATACAAAATATATTACAGACCAAAAGAATTATTATATTAATATTGCACAACCAGTCTTCTAATATTTTTAAATAATATCAGCAACTTTCATTAAAATTTTTTAACATTATTCATTTATCTATTAAATAAAATCCAAAAAGCTTATGTCCAAGCACTTCATATATCACACGTTCCATAAGTATTAATGCAAATCGTTTTGGATTTTCTATTAGCAAAAAAATTAATTTGCTTGTCTACATGTTATTATTTAAAGATCTATAATAAAAGATTTCATTAACAAAAGCAAAGATATTTGAAATTTATCTAAAAAAAAAAAAAACTATTTAAAAAATTTTACTGTTTGTTCTATCATTTTGTCAGCTTCTTGAAAATCTATAAAATGTATTTTTCGAGAAAATTATTATTCAAGAAAATAGTTCAAGTGATCGTAATATACGGACCACTCTACATACTCTTGTATATTGAATGTTTCTTAATATATAGAAAGTACTCTGTACTGATTCAAGACAAAAATAAAAAAGTTAATACATACATCTAATTTAATTATCTTTAAATAATTATTTTATGTTTTAACATCTTTGTATTATAGTCAACAGTTGCCAAATGCTTACGGTGGAGATAGCATTATACATTGTCGACATTCGTTTTTTATATCTAGTCGTTGACAAAAGATATAGTACAAAAATGTACAAAATATATTACATGCAATCCCATTTTTTAAAAAGATCCTGTATCAATATAGAAATAGAATTTTGGTCAAAATTATAATAAATTGTAGTTGTTTTCAGAAGTATATTGTAATTTTCACATTAATCAAAAGTTTTAATAAATACTTGTAAAAATAAATTTCTTGCAAAATATTAAGATAGAGATCTAATTTTCACATTTCAGATTGTAACTCAAAAATTGAAAATTTTCGCGACGTGTAAAAAAAATTATTTATACTTTTGATTGATATGAAAAGAACCATAAAATACTAAAAACTTTCATTCATTTTTCTTGAAATTCAACAAGGTTTGTGTGAGATCTTTTATTAATACTAGATTTTATTTCTGAATTTAATTTCTTATTTGTGTATACATAATTTGTTTATAATAAAAAACATTGAATTTTTTATTTGAACGTTATGATTATTTTTCTATTTATTAATATAATATATAAAAAGAACCGCGCACAAAACCACAGGTTTCTGGCTCTCAGTGAAATTGGCTGAAACTGTAGTATAATATAGTTCTTGACTGATCAAGTTTTCTGAGGCACAAAGCTTTAAAATGATTAATTTTCTTACAAGCCGTTTGAAGTGTTGTCTTTTATTACAACATATTATGTCATTATTTATGTTCAAATCAGGTTTTTTGTAATAAATCGAGAGTTTAGATAATGATATGCAATTTACTTACATATTTGAAAATAGTGTGCGAGTGGGAGGATATATATTTGTGTAGGAGGAGGGGCAGTATGCTATTTATCTTTAAAAGCATATTTCAAACAATAGGATAATAACAAATAATATATATCTTATTTTCATCCACTTATTCAGCCACCGATTGATTAACGCACGCACGCATGCATATTTAAAAACAAATTGCTGATTTTGCTAAATTTTTATGACTTCCTTCGCTTATCTCATTTCATCTTAGTCTCGAGCAGACCAAGAAAATCTTAATATAGAAGTTATAGAGCACTAGGAAAAAGTTCAAACATGTGAGAGGTAAGGGAACTCACGGAAATCAAACATCTCATATGAGGTAAGCAAAGGAATTCATAAAAATCTAGCAGAATCAGCAATTTGATTTAAAAAACAATTATGTGTCGTGTGTGTGTGTGTGTGTGTGTGTGTGTGCGTGCGTGCGTGCGTGCGTGCGTGCGTGCGTGCGTGCGTGCGTGCGTGCGTGCGTGCGTGCGTGCGTGCGTGCGTGCGTGTGTGTGTGTGTGTAATAAGTGAATGAAAATAAAATTAATATTACTTGTTGTTATCCCATTATTTGAAATATGTGCTTTTAAAGATAAGTTATAGCATACTATCCCCCTCCACATAAGTACATCCTCTCTCACACGCACGCACGCATGCATGCACAATTCTCAAATGTATAAGTAAATCGCAGATTATTGTCTAATTTTTCGATTTATTAAAAAAAAACTGATTTAAAACATAAATAATAATAATATGTTGCAATAAAATACAACACTTCAAACGGCTATAATAAAAAAAACTAATCATTTTAAAGCTTTGTACCTCAGAAAACTTGATCAGTGAATCAAGAACTATAACATACTACAGTTTCAGCCAATTTCACCGAGGACAAAAAACCCGTGGTTTTGTGCGGGATCCTTTTTATACAAATCACTATAACTCAAAATTTTGCTTTCAGCCATAAGATAACAAAAATTAATAAGTATTTTGCTATCTTCAAAAAATATTTAAAATTATCAGCTTAAATAGAAGAAACATGTTTTATTATTTCATTACATATCTCATTAGTTTTAAAGGAGTACTTTCTTCATTGAGAAACATCCGATATAACGAAGAATGTCTTATATCTTCCAATTTACCTAATGATCTAAACATTTGGTCCATTTCTGCCAAAAGACTTGGACCAAAATCAAAATTTAATGTCTTATCAAATCTTAATGGACTATCTTGATTTTCTTCATCACTGATTTCGTGATATTCATGATCAGCTCCAAGAGTATCAGTATTACTGCCTATATTGGATGTCATAGCTTGCTTGTTTGCATTGTTGCCTGTAGTTACATGGCATATCTCCGAATTCATATCAGACCATAAGCTCTCTAAATAAACATATAAATTAACACTATATTTTCAAAGTAATACAAAGTTGATTATCAAATAACTATAATTTGACTGATGCTTCGTTCTATATCTTAAAGTTGTTTCCTTATTCATATAAATAAATATTTAATAAAATTATATATATATATATATATAATCATAAATATACTACGCTTTTATAAAATAAATTTGAACATGTAAGCATATCATAAATATAATTTTGTAAAATACTTTTGCTTTATAAACAGATTACTGTAGTAAAAGATAAATACATATATACCATGTTTGCTTTGAGTTTCTTGTTGTATGCTTCTACTTTCCCTTGTCGATTCTCTATTCATATCTATGCTTCTTACATCCTGATTTGAAATTTGACTAGAATTATCAGTTGCATCCTCCTGCGGTTTGTACGGCGTCACAACTTGACGAGGCAAATGCAGATACTTTCCACCAAGAAAGCTGATATCACCAAAATATGCTCCATCTAAACCCACATGACCGGTATGTTTAAGATCTCCTTGCGGTGAAGATATCATGTCTGTTCGAATTTTTCTACGTTGCGAGGAAAAAGCATTTTTACCATCTCCTCGTGTAAATTCGCCAGGTTTATTACTAGGCAGATTGGAACCGAGATATGCGATTGTGTGAGCCGGATTAAATAATCCGGTTTTGCCGCTATTTAGAACGCCCTTCCATAAAGTATTACTGCTACCTTTATCTAGAACTGTAATTATATCACTCTGTCTATAAACGAGTTGATTCGGCTCAGTGTTATCCTGAACTGCCTGAACTTGCTCAGGTTTCAGATCAGGCAATAAATTAATCAATTCAGAGAATTTAGGTCTCTTTGAGGCTTCATGTTCCCAACATTGTTGCATCAAAGAAAAATAATCCTTTGGACAGCACTCAGGTTGTTCCAATCGTTGAAAATTAGGCTCGTCTATTGCTTCGAGAATTTGATGGCCAGTCAGCGCTGCCCAGGGCTGAAATCCGTAACTAAACATTTCATATAAGGTTACTCCATATGCCCAAACGTCGCTCGCTGATGTAAACTTTAAGTAGGATATGCTTTCAGGCGCACACCATGCAATAGGCAGCTTCAAATTGACATTGAAATTCGTCTGGTAATAATCTTTACCCACTCCTAACGCGCGTGATAACCCGAAATCCGATATCTTGACTTTGTTCTTGGAAAACACAAGGATATTTCTGGCAGCAAGATCACGATGTATTAACCTTTTCGCTTCCAGATATTGCATCCCGTCAGCAATTTGCACAGCAAAATCGCATAGTGATAAGACTGGGAAACTTGCGCGCAGACTAGGTTCTTTAAGACATTCCAGCAATGAGCGTAATGGAGCTAATTCCGTAACGAGCATTAGTGAGTTTGTATCAAGTACGACGCCATACAGCCTCACGATATGCTCGTGATCAATTGAGTGCATTATCGCAGCCTCCTTCAAAAATTCTATGGGATTATTCTGCATCCTCTCACGTGACAAACATTTAATTGCAACCTGAATTCTTTCTCCATCATTTGTCCATATTCCTTGCTGTACGACACCAAACTCACCGGTACCGAGTTCTTTATTCACAATAATTGCCTCAGCCGGAATCATGTGTTTATTGGGAACACGTACTGATGGTTTGTCTTGTCTCTCTTCTGGTAACATACCCAATACACCAGGAGACTGTTCCTCACGTTTCGGTAGCAGCATTTTCTTAAATTTAGATAGATAGTTTTGAGGAAAGTGCTTCTGAAAATATTTTTTTAGACGGCGCATTTCCGGCTTGCTCATCCCAATCGCATTTAAATCTTCTTCTGTTACATATTTCAATTGTGCTGTTGTTTGCACCTTCAAGTCTCCTAATTAAAAATGTCCCTCCGTTATTAAATTTATCTTAATAAACATTTCAATATTTAAATATTACAGATATCGCTCTCCCTCTCCCTATACTTTACGAAAAACAACTTTTAAAACTGTTAATACACACATATATATATATATATATAT